ATCTTTTTGACAAAGGCATTAAAGCTGCACAAACATATAAAGAATTGCATGGTCGATCAGCTTATGATATAACGTTCATCAATATTTATGAAAATAATGAAGAAGAGGTCATGAAAATAGCATTAGAATTAAGAGGGTTAGGAATGAATAGTAATAATTTAGTAATAATCTTTATAGTATTTCCTACTAATGAAGGAATTGCATTAGCGAAAAGATTAATAAGTAAAGTTGGAGGAGCAACTTCGGTCATTTATACTCCAATTACATGGAAAAAATTAATTCAACAATTTATGTATATAGAAAAAAATGAAGCTACTAACAAAAACAATACGAATTTGCACAGTCATGAAAACGAAAGTGATTATGGATTTTATGAGGTGGGAAATGCGAATCAAGAAATATATGACGGAATAAAGGGAAAAGATTTTAAAAGTAAATGTATTTTATGTGTGGTATGCCTTTTTTCTTTTGTTTTGGTCAAATTATTAATACATATTTAATATTACCGAGCTTTAATTTGTTGGTTTAACTTTATTGTACAGGATGATAATCCTATTGGCCTAGAGGTAATTATTTTAATAATATTGACTCGTTATTTTTGTTACCAGGCCTTTATTATAATGCTATCTTTTAGAACGCATTACAGAAAGTCTCAAAGCTTGATTATTCAACAATCTCTGCAACAAATGACCAAGAAGCAGTCAAGTTGATTGATTCTGAACTTAATTCAGAATATATAGATCAAATAAAATCTCTCAGAATCTAACAGAATGTAATTTAGTAAGTTTAATTCATTATTTATATTTAACATTATGAAATATTCACAACTGATTAATTATTTATTATACTTAGCAATAATGATATTTCACGAGTAATTAGAGCAACGAGGCCACCAATTTCATGCATACCAATTATTGTCCTAACATCATTTACTATAGAAGAAATACAATGTAAATGTATAGAGTCAGGAATAACCTTAAACAAGTTTTAAATAATTAATTGGTGAAAATTAGCGTTAATTATAATATAAAATCCTATATGAATATATCTTTTATAAATGCTAGTAATATGCCTTATATTTTTTTTCAAAAATTTTATATTTCTTCTATGTTTCTCTATCCTCAATAACTCTTTTCCTGGTATCAATAGTGATAGTTGTCTTTTGATTTATTTCAGTCGTTAACATCAATAATATAATTATTTACGGTAATATGTAGGTTATAATAAACGTCATAGACTGTAATGCTTGTCGTCTTGTATGGAAAATTTAACAGAATAGATTAAATTTGCGGTTAAGTTGCTGTATAGGTGGGCTCACAAGAACTTGCCTGCAGGTAGTATCAAATATTACATATACGCTAAATAGTGCTGCCCATATGTATACATTTATAGACTAACAAAATAATATGATAAGCAATAAATTAATCATTTTATTTATTTTTAAAAACTTAATAAACGTAATATTTATTACAGCCAGAAAGAATTATTACGGTTTTTCCAAGTATTTAGAATATTCCGTTGATTTTAAAATGATTATAATTCTCCAATTTATGCAATGGCTCAAGGTTTTTATTAACACTATCGAGCCATTTGTTTCCATTTGGATTCATTATGTTTTCTTTAATTTTTTTTGTTGCGTCCTGGATCCAGAATTATAAAAGCTTTTTGTTCAAATAAATAATTAAAGGCATAGTCTTCCGGAAAAGCGTTAACAATAAAATCCCAAGGTTTTCCGGTGCAATTGCATTTTCTTGGTTGTTATAATTTTAGAAGATTGTGTTTATTGAATTTTATGCTTTTAAAAGAAAAAAATCACTAACTGAATCAATTAATATCATTATCATGATTCTGAATTGACACTATCACGTGATTTTTCGAAACTTTTTGGGTGGCGATTTTACCCCGGTCTAATTATCTACTGCGACTAAGAAAATTTAGTGTGTGGTTAATGTGATGTGCTATTTTTTTTTAAAACATAATTCTGTGATATTGTAGTCTTTGTAATTCCGTGATAGTTTAGTGAGATCAAAATCTCAAAAAGTTAGTTCACATTCATTTAGTCCATTGTCACCAGTTTTACAACTTAGGATTTAAAGTTCAATTGTATTAACTATTTCTAAATAATTCGATAAACAAAAGTATATATTCATACTATTCGCACTAGCATACAGTATTTAACAGTTGAAGCAGGTGAAAGCATATCACCTAAATAGTAATTAACCTAAATATAGCTTGTATTTATACGTTGTGATTTATACTGTAATCGAAAATTTTTTTAATTGGAACCATTTAAATTGGTTCATAGTTTCGAGTGAATTATGTTAACGCTCACTGAATTAAGTGGTTAACACGGTTCAACTATTAGAAAAATTTTAGGCAATTCCAATCTACGTATTTTAGCACTTACGTAGCATTTTGGTGATAGTTTATAACTCACCTGACTAAACCTGTCAAGTTTGTCAATTGACTAAACTTAATAATGTCAGGCTGGTCAGTTGACCCGAATATATCTATTCTATTCCGATTCGGAGCTCTAATTACGAATACACGGATCACAAATCATATCACACGTTACTAAATACGTAGAACATACTAAACGATCCTAGCGTCTCCCGTAAAAATGGTAGCCGCAATCTTGATAACAAATTATTCATCAATAATAACAAACTTTCTTTTCTACGTTACTATCGCCATTGTCATAATGATAGCAGTTTTTTTACTTGACTTTTTTTTTATATGTAAATTTAAATAAAAAAATTTCTTATTGTGCCGAAGTAACTGACCGAAGTCTACACAGGGTGCCATTATATTCAAAGCTATTAAGACCTTTGAATGAAAAAAATTTTTATTATGTATCAAAAAAGTGTTCATAGCATGTTAAAACTAGAAACAAAAAGGTACTTATTGTTGAAAAATATACATTCAAATTTCAAATGACGATTTATTTTAATTTCGTGAACATTTTTTTAATTTAAATAAATTATCGTCTAGTGCAACTTTTGGTTTACAAGTTCAATATTGTAAATGCTTTTCCATAGTTTAAGTGAAATAAATCTTTGTCCATTTTTTGTTTATTGGTTCAACATAAATATATATATATATATATATATATTTGGTTTTATAAAATTAGTCGACACTTTATATAACGAACTAATGATTCTGGATGCAAAATAAATAAAACAAAAAAAAGTTCGTTATACAAAATTACTATATTTTGTTAACAAGCCATTAACTCTTTCTATATAGAACTAATGTAAAATTTAAGGATTTTAGTTCGTTACATCGAGAGTTAATTATGGAGAAGTTCGAGAGTTAATTATGGAGGAGTTCGTTGTAGAGTTGACCATTTGTCTGTGTATGATTAAAAGAAGAGTTACAAGCCAATAAAAATAAATTATGAATTAAAAACTTAATACCTAATTTTGAGGCCTAACTTAGGCAGATCTATTTCGCTACCATTTTTACAGGCGACGTTATGGTCGTTGAACATACTACCATGAAGCTTTCGGTTCACGTTCAAAAACAATTACCCAAATGTTTGTGCGTAATATACGTTACCGAATTATTATTTTAATCTGACACAGATTTTAATCCAAAGATAGCCTATATTTTACGATTTTACATAATAGAAATACTTTATTTTAGCAGATCACATTGATGTGAAAGATCTAAGATATGAAATGCTAGAAACAATACTAACAAAAGTTATATGGGCTAGATGCTGGAAACCAGCATGCTGGTACCAACGGCACATCGTAAAAATTAAACCCATTATTAAGATACGAATAATTTGACACAGACCAAAGCATTCTACATTACGGCGCATTTGTAAACTACCCTAAAATTTGAAAAGTTTGATTACTGATAGTGAGTCAATTTAACTTAACTTCATGCATACATATTAATATGAATTAGAGTTGTTATCATAATTGTGAAATATGTCCTGATTTAAATTATGATATACTACTGCATCTCAAATCTAACGTCCAATCCCTTTCCACCATTCAACCCATCTTTCCACTATATTTGCTTAATTTTCTTAATTCCACAAATGCGCCGTAATGAACATATTGTATTAATATATATTTACAATATATCTATATATATGTACATTACGGTATTAATACTTCATAACATACTTAATAGCTGTGGCAGATTAAAATGAATTCAGATTAAAATGAAATAAAATAGCCGCATAAGAATGATTTTTACCCGGGTTTCCGTTTGTACACAGGTATCGGTATTTTTAATTAATACACCGTGATCTAATTATTTGTTGCAGATCATAATGAAATCAGATTAAAATGAAATGAAGGGTTTCTATTTGAGCCTCTAAAACCCACTTATACTTGTACTTGTTTATTCGAAGTATAGAATAAATTAATAATATTCGGGTGAAAATTTTCTAAAGAGATTTTTACTATCATAGTTGCAGACATTTAGAAGGTCAAAGTTAGTTACCTTTTCCCGTCACCTTAAATGTCATATAAAATTTAGACATAACGTCAATACGTTATTTGATATAACGGAGTAAATACTACGTACGTACTACGCGCATTTATAAAATTTCCTAAATAACTTTTTATTTTTCCAAAAATGTAAGACTAGCTAAAAAAGTAAATATTAATATGTCATTATGTTTTTTATTTTTATAAATTATAGCCTTTGTGCAAGCAAATAATGAACATCTGTCTCTGTAGTTGTGTCTTCAAAGAAAGCTACAAATAATGACTGAGATTTTCAGATACACAGTCAGCTCTCTCTATAACGAACTCTGGGTATTGGGGTTGAGCTCTTATGAAAACATAGTAATCCTATATAACGAAATCTTTTTTACTTCTAGAACCATCAAAGTGTTATAGGGAGAGTTGACTTAATAAAGAATTTTAGCAAAAATGTCACCAAGTATGCATTTAAACGGGACTCGCATGATCTTGCTATTATTTTTCGTAATAATTTTTATAGAGTTCGGCTCCGGTCAAACGTTGCCAACAACTACGATGACTTCCGCAGGTACAGAAATGACATCTACAAATATAACAACACAAATTTCTTTGACTTCTGAAATTCTGACAATGGTTACATCTACAATTATAACGACTCAAACTTCTGCAACTTCTTCAATGACGACAACAACAGTGCAAGCAGGTACAGAAGTGACATCTACAAATATAACGACACAAATTCTTTCGACTTCTGAAATTTTGACAATGACTACATCTACAATTATAACAGCTCAAACTTCTGCAACTTCTTCTGCAACTTCTTCTGCAACTTCAGCGACAGCAGCAACAATACAAGCATCGGTAACTTCCGCAGGTACAGAAGCGATGTCTACAAATACAACACTAATTTCTTCGACTTCTGAAATTCTGACAATGGTTACATCTACTATTATAACAACTCAAACTTCTACATTCACAAATTTTACAACTTCAGGGGCTCTTGTAACGACAACAACGCAGGCACCTGCAATTTTTACGACTCCTACAACGCAAGCACCTGCAGTTCTTACAACAGCAACTGCATCTAAAGAGACATCTTTAGTGCAGACAATGACGCCCGTTTTAAGTTCATCTTATAGTCCAGCTAATAGTGGAAGACCGCCGATTACTCTACCACCAAAAGAAACAACAACGACTATTAATCAATGCACAGATACAAAAAATTGTCGTATTGAGTATGTTTTTTGAAATCTACTTTTAATCTTTGTAATCTAACACTTTGAATTTAAAAAAATGTTATCAATTCTCTCAATAGTACTGAAACAAAAGCTACCGGAAAAGTATTTACAAGTACAGCTCCGGATCAAAAAACTTCAATTGGAAATGATAAGACAATTACAAAATTCACAACTACAACGTATACACAAACTATTACACATGTATATCCAGGTTATACAACAACTATAACTTATACAACTGATGGAACTGTAGCGTCATATGAAACATATTATCCACCCAGTACTGTCGTTGTGTATCAGCCAGTGACTGCTACTGTACCTATGGATGATACTTTGGGTACATCTAATAGTATTGGTTTCAAAGATAATAATGGATTAGCAAATATTCTTTGGAGTTTGTGGCTTGTAGGTTGGAGTTTAGAATACATGATTTTAACCTAAACTTTATTGTAAAATTTAGTATTATTAGTCATTATAATTTAACTTTATTTTGTTTATTAAATTTTTAATGATTATTTATCGTTATATGTATATAATTTATATATATGGGATTGAAAATTATGATAACGTGTTGGCCATTCACACTTGATAAAGATTACATTAATTCAAAATAAATTTTGTTTACAATTTTAAAAATATTTTTTCGATGATTAAACATTGTATGATCGAAATTATGTGAATTATTTCGTTCCACCATTCGTACGCGTGTAATGTTATTTGGCTCGTAAGAATAATTATATTAACTATATCAGATATTATATATACTGTCATATAGTATTGCCATTCACCAAAATTAATTTATTCTATTAATTCCAGTTTAATTAATACATTGGTCATATACCATATTTAATCCAAAAAAGAAATACACTTAATATTATTATAAATTAATTTATGTGGTCAGGTTACCTATGGCGTAAAAAACGAATCAAATCCATCTTGGTTGTAACAGCTAGAGCCCATTTCCTTTCACTATCTGTAACAATGGCAAAACTATGTTTCTCAAAAAACTTTGCTAATTCATCTAATGGTGTGTCAGGTGTGATTATTTGATACGTTTGGCGGCGTATTTGATTTTGCGAATTTCTATTTCCAAAGGTAAACATCCATTTGGAAACTTCATCTGTTAAGGTTGCATCACCTGAGTCTAACTTATCTTGAAGAGACGTTAATGATACATAACCAAGAAGTTTACGATGCGAATCGGTCACTGGTAACTGTGAAAATTCCCTTTCAACCATTAGATCAAGTGCATGGGCTACTGGTACATTAGGGAGTACAGTAACAGCCGCTGGTAATTGGAGATCTTCTACGCTTGCCTAAAAGTAATAAACATTCACGTTGTTAAAAGATAGTAAACAATATGATATAATATGCTAAATTAAGTCATAATATTATATAAAAGTCTCTGGTTTTACCGCTCTATATTTTTCAATTCTTTGGTACTCAAGCTTCTGGATAGTTTGCTCATCCATCAAGTCATTTTCTAAAAGCCAATCTTCTGATAACAAAGTACTAGAATAATTTCTTGCTGTATCATTCAAAATACAAAGTATACGCGCTTTAGTGTCTGGAAGAACATTCTTCTGCGCATAAGATAAGGCTGCACTAGCAACGGATCCTGATGATGGTCCTATTTAAAAAATTTATGCTCAATACCAATTATTATAGAAATGTTATATATATATATATATATATCAAGGTTAATTAAGCATACCAGCCATAAATCCCTCACTAATCAATTTTCTTGTCATAGTAAATGATTCTTTATCGCTGACTTTTGCCCATGCATCAATAAGAGAAACATCCAAAATAGAAGGTGTGAAATTATTGCCAATATCCTCAACTTTTTGTTCCTTTTGAGATATAAGAGTCACTTAAGATAGTCTGGAATAATTTATTAAAACAATATAAAATTTTTGTTGTGATAAACACCTTTATGGTTGATGAATCAGTCAACTTATTTTCTTGTATTCTTGAATATTGAGGTTCCACAGCCAAAACCTACATATAAACCAAATAGGTGTATTAAGTAACTACTTAGAAAAGATATTATTTATACTAATTTATGATTATGTGTATTGAAATTTGACTTTTTTGTGAATTCATTCGTAATTGATATTTAATATTTAAGGTAACGATTTTAAGTACCTTTAGCCCTGGTATTCGTCCTTTAAGGTTTTTAGCAAGTCCAGTTATGGTACCTACAATGATAAAAGTTAGTTGACAGTTTAATGGTTTTAATGATAGATAATAATTTTTAATTCGCACCTCCGGATTCTACTCCAACAACAAGAACGTCAAGCCTCCCCTCAACTTGTGTATAAATTTCTTCCGATGTTTCTTCGTAGTGTGCTTGTGCGTTGCTTTGATTTGTAAACTATTAATTTTTTTAGTATTAATTACTTATAATTGAATATTTAAAAATTGAATATTTATAATTTTATCAAATGTCCGGGATGATGCTGACACGTGGGGTCTCAATTTAGAAATATAAACCCTACTAAATCCATCTATACCTTTTTATTATAAACACTAGCACTAAACCTAACTTAACTACAAAAAAAAAAGCCAAAAAAAAACATTCCTCCAAAAATTTAAAATTTCATATTAAAATAAGTCAATGTTTCAGCATCATCCCTGACATTAAATATTTACCTCATTTATTACAACTGAATTTGCAATTTCCGAAGACAATTTTATTGCCAAATCAAAATTACTTTCCGCATATCCAGGTCTAGCTTCATTTGGTGTTCTTATAATTTCAACTCCTAATGATTTTAAAATACGAATACGATCGATGCTTGTACGTTCCGGCACAAGTGCGATGGTTTTATATCCTTTTCTTTGAGACAAAAGTGCGATGCTTATACCTATTTTTTTTTAAAAACAGATTTACTTTGGAATACAACTTAATTTTTCTTAAAAAAAATTTTTTTTTACTAACCAAGATTGCCACTTGTAGGTATTATTAAAGTTGAATTTGGTCCGATTTTATTGGATTTTTCAGCGTCTGTTTATTGTAAATAAAATCTGAGCATTAAATTGAATTTAATCCAGTAATCCAGTAATTATAATAAATATTTAATATAAAAAAGTCTACCAAGTAATATTTTTTTGGCTACACGGTCTTTAATGCTTCCCGACAAACAGTTTGTATATTCTAATTTGGCTAAGAATTCTATATTATTCAATGTTGATAGAGACGTATCAGAACTAGTGGTGGAAATGTTTAAACGAACTATTGGAGTGTTGCCAATCGTTTCAGCTATATCATTGTATATTGGTGGCGGCGGACGTTTGGACATTTTTTTTTTAGATGTGAAATCTGGGATAAAGAAAATCTAAATTTAAATATTTGGTGCTATCGGCTTTAAACGTTTAGTCTATTTTTCATGTGACTTTATGTGACACGGTTTTATAATTTAAGTACTGTAGATCGATCATGCAACAATTGTGAATAGAGATGGGCAAGATAATATACTTATTACCTAAAAGTTAAATTACGCTATGCGACAATTTAGTATGTTATTAGTTGTAAGCAGTGTTGTTAATGTCACTATTTGGACTTTCGAACTATGGTTATTTACCCGGTTCAAGTCAAAACATAAGACGTCGGATTAGTTAAATAACTTCAATGTCCAACGATATGCATAGTATACGCATAGTTCTATAAATCTAAACTCATTTTTAATCATACATAATCATACAATTACACATTTTAGATATTTGCACGTTCAATTGTATTGACTCCGTTAATTGATTAAATAACCGATTAATTAATTCAACTAGTTAATTAACATTGTCTCGGTTAAATTAACAACACTGGTTGTAAGTATATATTATTAGTAAATTGTCGTATAGTGTGACTTAACTAATAAGTACCTTGCCATCTCCACAAGTGAAGTACTTAATTTGTATCGTAAAAATTAAGTCCCAATATTTAAAATCTTTTGTAACCACAAGTTTTCATGTAAAGATACGTTCATCCTAAAAATAACAATTTAACTGTACGGTCCGCATGTGCAATGTTTAGTTATGTGAAATGAAATTAAAGATCAAGTACCTGCGGATTAAATGTTTTCAGTATTCTATATTAATTATAATAAATGGATATACTGTAAACCGGTGAAAATATCTGAAACTTTTGTGTTCTCTGAGAAAATAAAATTTAAAAATTTAGGTTCTCAAAAAGATTTTTAATGTTCTTCAAGGTTCTTAGAGAATTATTTTTATAATACAATCACAAATTTATGTTCTCAAACATAATTCTTAAATATCATGGCCGTTTGATTTTATAATTTATTTTTTTTAATGCGTTAAAAATGATTAATACAATTTTCTTTTTTTGACACTAGTACTATTATATATATTAGTAAATAAGTTTAATTGATATGTAGTGTAAGCGATAAATTTACTTTTGTAAATTTCTTCAGAATCTAATTGACGCGTAGTAAAAGTGTTAAATTTGCTTTTATAAACTTTTTGTGAATTGTAAATCTCAGACATGCCGCTCATTACTTGATTTGTTTTTTTATCAGATAATTCTAAATGAATTTCTTCATCATCTTTCCATCTTTTAAATGTTTCATAAACTTCTTGAGTTGTTGGGCGATCTTCTGGCTTTTTTTCCCAACATCTTTTCATAAAATCTACGTAACATGATCTTGCACCTTTATCAAGATTTGGTCGTAAGTTATGGAAACATATTTGAAACTGAAGTTCTGGTCCAAATTCTTGATTATAAGTTACTGGTTTTCCGTATAAAATTTCCCACATAATTATTGCAAATGAATAAATGTCTGATGCTGTAGTATATTGCTTTCCCTCTAAAACTTCCGGTGCAATGTATGGTAAAACACCGTAGACTCCACCAGATTTTGACTTTAATGCTATATTAGATGATATTGAAAGCCCCAAATCTGCAATGTACGCACTATGTAAATGATCTTGTAAAATATTACCACTGTGTAAATCTCTGTGAATAAGATCTTGAGAATGAATTATCTGAAGATCCGTAGCAATGCAAAATAACAAAAATATTTTATCTTTCCATTCCAATTGTAAAATTTGACTAAGATTTTTACGCAAAGACCCTTTTGATGCATATTCTAAAACTAGAATGTAATCTTCTGAAGTTTTATCTTTTGAATATCCGTATAATTTTAAGAATGATGGGTTACCATAACTAATGTCGCAATATGCTTTTAACTTTAAAAGAATGTTATATATTAAAATAATTGAATTATTAAAAATGAAAAAAATAAATCAAAATGAAATTACCTCTTTAGTAAATTCTTCACGACAAAGTTTTGATCCATCAAATAATTTAAGTGCAACATCTATAAGTATATTATTTTGATCCATCCAATGAGCTTGGTATACTGTTGCAAAACCACCTTTACCTATCACTTCGATATCTTTAAATTCGTTATAAGGAATCCATGATAATTGGTAATTATAATTCTTATTCTTACGTTCGTTTGAGACTAAGAATAAAATGTTTGAATTTGAGTTTGAATTTTTTTTTGATAAATAATCAATAACTCCATATACCTGATAAAATTTTTTTCCCTATTATTGATGAAAAATTATAAAAATTGCATTATAATAAAAAGAAAAGATAATTTACTGTATGATAAATTACTTACATTTGATACCAATAATTGGCTTTTTGTAAGTCTTTTCTATTCCAATTCCATTTCGATAAAAATACCTAGCTTTAGACATTCCATTAACATTCCCCATTTCGGCAGACCTTTGATAAAACTTGAATGCCTTAGGTTTATTTTTTTCAACTCCAACTCCATTTTGATAACAATTTCCAACATTGTACATTCCAAAAACATTACCTTTGTCAGCAGATTTTTTATAATAAGCAAACGTATTATTTACATTCTTTTCAATTCCAATTCCGTTTTGGTAACAATAACCAAGACTATTCATCCCATTGGCATTATTCTTATCAGCAGATTTTTGATAATAGGCGAACGCCTTGGTTTCATCCTTTTCAGTTCCGATTCCATCCCGATAACAATCTCCAAGATGATTTAACCCATCTGCATTGCCCATGTCAGCTGACCTTTCATAATGAGTGAATGCCATATGTTTATTTTTCTCAACACCAATTCCATCCCGATAACAGTCTCCAAGATGATTTAACCCATCTGCATTGCCCATGTCAGCTGACCTTTCATAATGAGTGAATGCCATATGTTTATTTTTCTCAACACCAATTCCATCCCGATAACAGTCTCCAAGATGATTTAACCCATTTGCATTGCCCATGTCAGCTGACTTTTGGTAATAAATGAATGCTTTATACTTATTTTTTTCAACATCAATTCCATCCCGATAACAGTCTCCAAGGTAATCTAACCTATCTGTATTACCCATGTTGGCTGACTTTTGATAATAAGTGAATGCCTCATACTCATTTTTTTCAACACCAATTCCATCTCGATAATAGTCTCCAAGGTAATTTAATCTATTTGTATTACCCATGT